TCCTGGCACCCCACAGCATCCCTTCCCTGGGCATTTCCCAGGCAGCCAAAGCCCTGGGGCGGATGGGAGCACTGCAGTGGTACCCAAAGGAGTCCCCTGGGCGGGCCTCATCCCTGTGTCCCGCTCTCTCAGGGCACTGGCTCCGGGTTAGGACCACGGTGGGGTGGCACTGAGGCTCTTTCCCTGCAGTCTGCGCTATTCCCGCCTCAGCAGCGCCTGCTGCAAGGACCTGGCCGCTGTGCTGAGCACCAGCCCCTGCCTGGAGGAGCTGGATTTGTCCTTCAGCGAGGGGCTGCGGGACGCGGGTGCGGAGCTGCTGTGCGAGGGGCTGCGGCCCCGTTCCTGCCGCCTGCGGACGCTGCGGTAAGAGGCGGCCCGGTCCCACGGCGCAGCGGCTCCAACGAGGTCCCGCCGCACATCCCCTACTGTCCCGCATCCCGCAGGCTGGGGAGCTGCCGCCTGACGGGCGCCTGCTGCCGAGCGCTGCCTGCGGGGCCGCCTCCCCTCACCTGCCTGGACCTGAGCGACAACGAGCTGGGAGCAGACGGGGTCCTGCAGCTCTGCCGCCAGCTCCGGAGCCCCTCCTGCCCGCTGCGGGCCCTGGGGTAAGGGGCTGGCTGTGCCCTTGCACCCCTGTGCGAGTGCCGAGGGCTCAGGGAGGGACAGGAGGGGCATGGAACCACGCAAGGAAGGGTTTGGGTTGAAGGGACCTGAAAGCTCCTCCAGCTCCAAGCCCAACCCCTTCCACTGGAGCAGCTTGCTCCAAGCCCCTGTGTTCAACCTGGCCTTGAGCACTGCCGGGGATGGGGCAGCCACAGCTTCTCTGGGCACCCTGTGCCAGCGCCTCAGCACCCTCACAGGGAAGAGCTTCTGCCTAAGAGCTCAGCTCAGTCTCCCCTCGGGCAGGTTCAAGCCATTCCCCTTGGCCTGTCCCTCCAGGCCCTTGTCCCAAGCCCCTCTCCACGTTCCCTGCAGCCCCTTTGGGCACTGGAGCTGCTCTCAGGTCTCCCTGAGCCCCCCCAGCTCAAGCCGGGGGTGATCCCACAGCTTCCTCCTCCCTCTGTTCCAGGCTGAGCACGGCCGGGCTGCCCCAGGACGCGCTGCAGGCCCTGGCTGCCCTGCGGGCGCTGAAGCCCGGCCTCAAGGTCGGGGACCTCCTGGAGCAGGAGGCGCCGCAGACGGGGGCCATGGCCCGGCTCCGCTTCCAGCGCGGGGCCCTGCCGGGCAGGAGGGGGCCCCCCTCGCTCCGCACAGGAGCGCTCCTCTAGGAGAGCCCTTGCAGCAACCGCAGCCGTTCCCAGCGCAGGGCTCGGGGACCTGGGGGGAACCCGCTCTGGCTCTGAGCCTGCCCCAAGCATGGGGGCGCAGGGGAGGAGCTGCTGCCTGCAGCCTGCATCCTGCATCCGCTGGGATCGGGGCAGAACCGCTCCACGTCCTTCCCTCTCCCGTTTCCCCAGCTGTGGGGAGCAGATCCATAGAGATCTCTATAGACCCCATCTATTGCTGGGAACACGCGTGTTGGTGTTGCTGGATGCCAAATAAAGGCGCTGGGGCCCTTATTCCCTTTTCTTCCTCCGCCCTTCTCCCTGTCCCAGTCACACCCAGGGACCCATCTGTAGGTCCAGCTCCTGCCGCACATCCCCAAGGGATGGTTGATGTCCCCGGGAGCAAGGTGCCAGCCTGGAAGTGAGTCTCCAGCCAGCTTGGGAGTTTTAATAGGGAAAACCATGGGAATTCACGGTGAAACTAAACCCAGATCCCTGCAGCGCTGCTGCAAGAGGGACACCGGAGCTGCTGTGCTGTGGTCCTGGGCACGGAGAGGTGACCTCCATGGCCAGGGCCACCCGTCCTTGGGGACAGAGCCCCAGCACCCGCACTTGTGTCCCCGCGGCCTCGTGTGCTGCGGCCGCAGCATCCTCACAGCAATGTCCCCAAGGTGCCAACGTCAGCATCATCGTAGCCTGTGTCCCCTGGGGGCTGCTCACGGGGGTCCCCTGTGCCCCCTGGGGGGGGACGGCTCCCACCTTGGGGGCAGCAGAGGCTGGTGCCTTAGTGGGGGCCGCTAAACCCCATCTGGGTCTTGCAGCAGCCCCATGGATTTGCTCCTGCTCCCCCCATCCACCGCAGCCAAGCCCCCCCCCGAGGTGGCTCTGCAGGGCACAGGGACACTCACCTGCATGTGCCACCCCCTCGGGGGTGTCCCCAGTGCCAAGGGACTCCTCTGGCACAGCCTCGGCATCATCGTAGCCATCGGGGGGTCCGTCCTCAGGCAGGGCAGGGGGGCCTGGGGCAGCGATGGGGAGGAGATGGGGGTGACCCGGAGGCCGTGGCAGGGCTCTGGCTGTGTCACCCCCCCTCCATGCACAGCACCAGGGGTGTCCGGGAGGTGCTGGGGCTGCTCATCCAGAGCCACAGCTGAGCTGGGCTCATCCAGGCCTGGGGACCCCGTGTCCCCTTCGCTCCCCAGTCCTAAGGGGGTCCCCGCTGGGATCCTGTCCCCATGTCCCTACCTGGGGCTGCGCCGGGGTCACTCTCCTCCACATCCTCTGCAGTGTAATAGGGCAGCTTCGTCTCTGAGCCCTCTGTTGGGGAGCCTGGTGGGGAGAGGGCACAGTGGGACAGGGGACACCCACACGCCACGGGATGAGCCGCAGCCACACCGCCAGGAGCCAGGGCTGTGGTGGGGCCGCGGGGCAGAGCTACCCCAGTACGGGCACACGTGCACCAACCTGGGCGACTGGGCACCTTCTGGTACTCCGGCATCCCGGTGTAGTCCAGCTCCTCATAGACAGCATCCAGGGCTCTGCCAGGCTCTGGAATAACAGCAGCAGCGCTCAGCAGGAGCAGCGGGGTCACCAATGACCCCCTCTGAGCCCCGGGACCCCCAAAGCAGCTCTGCGCCGCAGCACCCACCTCGTGGCCCAGCCCAGGCCCGGTACATCTGCAGAGCCAGGGCAGCGAGCGCCAGGCACAGCAGCACCCCCAGCACCGCGCACAGCACCGTGGGCACCGGCACCGGCCCCGTGGCTGGCCGCGGGGTGCTGGCCCTGGGGACACCTGCGGGGCCATGGGAGGAGCAAGGTGAAGCGAGGCCGTGGAGCGCGGCCGGCCCGGCGCAGGCCTCAGCATCAGAGCTACCTGTGAGCGTGGGGCTCCCTGGGGACGGGCTGAGCATCCCCTCGGCGCCGTCCTCAGCGCACACCACATGCGCGTCCCCGCCGGGCCCGCACGGCTGCAGGCGCCAGGGAGCCGAGGGGCAGCGCCACAGCGAGCGGGCCCCGTCCTCGCAGCGCACCCAGGCGAGCCAGGCGGGGGCCGGGAGCGGGGCAGCGCCGGCCCCGAGGCTGCCCCCGTTCCCGCAGCCCAGCTGCCTGCAGGCGGCGGCGGCCGTGGCCGGGCTGGTGCCGTCGGCGCACACGCGGCCCCACGTCCCGTTGTAGAGGAGCTCCAAGTGCCCGCTGCAGCGGCCGCTGCCGCCCGCCAGCCGCACGGAGAGCTGCCCTAGCCGCGGGGGGCAAGGCGGGGGTCACCGCACGGCTCCGGGTGCGCGCCCCCGCCCTGCCCCTGCCCGTGCCCGTGCCCGTGCCCGTGGCCGCCACTGACCTGAGCACACGGCGCCGGCCCCGCCGCCGAGCCGGCAGCCGCGCTGCGCTGGGGCCGGGCAATCCCAAAGGGACGCCTCGCTGCCGGCGCAGCCACCGGCACCCGCCCACGGCGGGGCCGCCCCGGGGCCGAAGCGAGCGGAGCCGGGCGCGTCCAGCGCTGCCCCGCAGCCCAGCTGCCGGCACACGACGGCGGCGTCCGGGATGTCCCACGCGTCCTGGCACACGGGGCTCCAAGCGCCCTCAACGTAGAGCTCCACACGCCCGGCACAGCGCCCAGGGCCCCCCGCCAGCCTCAGCCGCCGGCTGCCTGCGGGGCACGGACGGGATGCACCGGGGCTGCTGCCTGCGGGGCCCCCACCGCCCGGCCCATAGCGGGGCACTCACTCCCTCACTCCCTCACTCACCGGAGCACACAAGAGCCAGAGCCTCGCCAGCGCCGCTCCCAGCACTGGCCCTGCCCGAGACGTTGCACTGCGCCAGGGCGTCCTCGCTGCCCGCGCACTGCACCTCCTGCAGCCCCACGCCGCCGGGGCCCGCCACGGGGTACACCCGCTCCAGCTCGCCGCAGCCCAGCTCCCGGCACGCCACGGTGGCCGCCTGGGGGGCCCGGAGCCCCGCGGACACAGCGGCCCAGCTGCCCGGGCTCGTGGGGACCTCCAGCCGCCCCTCGCACCGGCTCTGCCCCTCCAGCAGCCGCAGGGGCTCGGCAGCGCCTGCAGGATCCACCCGAGAAGCTGGGGCTGCCCCATCCCTGGCAGTGCTCGAGGCCAGCTTGGACACGGGGGCTGGGAGCAAGCTGCTCCAGTGGAAGAGGTTGGGACCGCATGGGGCTTTAATCTCCAATCAACCCAAACCACGCTGGGATTCTGTGCTAAAGCACCGGTGGTGCCATGGGGCTGCAGCACAAGGCCCCGGGACGATGCTGGGCCCCACCTCAGCCCCCCTTCACCACAAAGGACCCCGCATCCTCCATTCCCAGTGCTTGAGGGGTTCCCACAGCCCCACGAGGCTCTTCCCCCCCGTGTCCCGCACGCACCTGAGCACTCGACCGCAGCAGCGTGCCCGGGGGGGCAGCTTGGCTCCCCCAGCACCGCCACGGGGCACTGGCCTGGGTGCTGCTCGCTGCCGCTGCAGCCAAAGGCATCCACGCGCAGGGTCCCGTTCCCGCTGCCGAAGGAGCCTCCCGGGAGCACGGCGCTGGCAGGGCCGCAGCCCAGGTGGTGGCAGAGGACATGGGCATCGGGCAGGTCCCAGGCGCTGGCGCAGAGGGACCCCCACGTCCCCCCTGCCATCACCTCCACCCGCCCGGCGCAGCGCGAGCTGTGGTTCGCCAGCCGGAAGCCGCTGTAGGCTGGGGCACAAAGGGGGTTGGGGGGTGACAATGGCGCAGGGGGACCCCCAGCACCCCCCGCTGGCCCCGCTGCTTACACGAGCAGACGATGCTGGCGTGGCCGCTGCAGGCCTGGGCGCTCCGTGCCCGCTGCCTGCAGGCGCTCAGGAGGAGCTCGCTGCCGCTGCACTCGAATCCTGCGTCCCATTGCGGCTCCGATGCCGCCGGGAACAGGCCGGCCCCGGGCACAGCCAGCACCGAGCCGCAGCCCAGCTCCCGGCACACGACCTGGGCAGCCTTCAGCTCCACAGCATCCTCACAGAGCCCGGCCCACGCTCGGCCCTGCCGCACCTCCAGCCGCCCCGCGCAGGGGCCATCGCCACCAACCAGCCGGGAGAAGCCTGCGGGGAGAGGCCCCGCGGCGGTGCTCAGGGATCGGAGCAGCCCTGACGGGAAGGACTTGGGCTGCTGCCTGAGGAGCAGCTCCCCACGACCCGGCTTCAGGGAGCGCTTGAGACCAGAACCCCCCCGGCTCCGTGTGCTGGGCTGCACCCCCAGAGCGTGAGCAGCAGCTCCGGGAGGGGATCCTGCCCCTCTGCTGCGGGAACGGGAGACCCCCCCTGCAGCGCTGGGTGCAGAGCTGGGGTCCTCAGCATAAGAAGGCCATGGAGACGTTGGGGCAAGGGTGGAGGAGAGGCCACGAGGATGCTCAGGGGCTGGAGCAGCTCCTGCATGGAGCCAGGCTGGGAACACTGGGGCTGCATGGAGAGCTCAGAGCAGCTTCCAGTGTCTGAAGGGGGCTACAAGGATGCTGGAGAGGGACTCTTCATCAGGGACTGCAGCAATAGGAAAAGGGGTGATGGGTTCAAACTGGAGATAAAGCAGAAGCTCTTCCCTGTGAGGGTGCTGAGGCGCTGGCACAGGGTGCCCAGAGAAGCTGTGGCTGCCCCATCCCTGGCAGTGCTCAAGGCCAGGTTGCACACAGGGGCTTGGAGCAAGCTGCTCCAGTGGAAGGGGTCCCTGCCCGTGGCAGGGCTTGGAGCTGGATGGGATTTAAGCTCCCTTCAACCCAGACCTGGGGCTCTGTGCTGTGCCAGCACCAGCTCCCGGCTCCTACCTTGGCAGACGACGGCGGTGTCGAAGTCGTGGATGCCGCTGTAGGGCCCCCAGCCCCTCACCTCGCACTCCCAAAGCACTTTCTCGTGCCCGCGGCAGTTCACCAGCACCATGTTGACAGGGGGGTCACCGCTGCTGTACTTGCTGCCTTTCATGTAGGCCCTGGTGGCCGAGCCGCAGCCCAGCTGCTGGCAAACCACCTCCGCATCCATCATGTCCCACGTGGGGTCTGCCACCGAGCCCCAGCGTCCCCGCAGCTTCAGCTCCACCTTCCCATCGCAGGGACCGCTGCCGCCCGCCAGCCTCAGCTCCAACGCGTCTGCACCACGGCACCGGCCCAGCCTCAGCCATAGCCAGCGCCGCGGCACAGGGCCGGTGTCCCGGCACCACCGGCATCCCCTCCTCACCTGTGCAGGTCACCCCCACATCGCGCTCGTGGCCGCAGAAGTGCTCGCCCCATCCGAAACTGGGACAATCCTGCAGCGTTGCCTCATAGCCGTTGCAGAAAACATGGAGCCAGATGCGGCCGGTGCCCTGCCCGAACGGAGCGTACGGGGACGCCGTGGCTGCCGTGCCACAGCCGAGCTGCCGGCACACCACGGTTCCCCTGCGGGTGTCCCAGTCGAAGTCGTAGCTGCAGACGGAGCCCCATTCACCTTCATGCTTCACCTCCACCCTCCCGGCGCAGCGCCCACCACCACCCACCAGCCGCAGCTCATCGGGGCCCTGCGCCGTGCTCAGCTCAGCCTGGGGCTCTGCGGTGCTCCGCGGCTGCCCCACGCTGAGCTGCACCCACAGGAGAGCCCCCAGCACCCTCACAGGCACCATCTCGCACACCAGGACCCCCCCTCTGCCTCCTGGGTCGGGCTGGGTGATTTATAGGCAGCGCCGCAGCCAATGGAGGCAGCAGCACCTTCTGAGCCCGTTATCAGTTGGGTTATCTCCCATGTGGGGAGGCCTCGGGCTCCAATAACCTGCTCCGTGCCCAAATATGAGGCTCAGCTCCGCTTCTGGCGTCACACACCTTGCCAGGGGGGGTCAGAGCCCGGATGCCCCCAGTCTGAACCAATAACACCTCCCCCCGTAGCACCCAGTGCTGCAACAGGGCGCACGGACCCATCCGGCATCCCCCCATGGCACTGACCCTGCTGCGGCGCCTGCCAAGAGCCCAATGGCAACAGGATTCACCCCAAAACCTACCCAAACCCCCACAGGGCCGCTCTTAGCACCAGCACGGGGCAAAGCCCAAGGAGCCCGGGCACAGCAGCACCCATCCTTGGGATGCTCCCCTCCATAGGGTGCCTGCAGACCCGGAGTGGGGGGGCCCTGAGGTGGCAGCAGCCCCCCCCCGCCTCACCGCGGTGCCTGCAGGTGGCCCATGGCGCTGCCGGCAGCTGTGGCAGGCAGGAAGGAGGCGGTTTCCCCCCTGCAAGCAGGGACCCGCTGTCGGCATCGACCACACGCAGCTCCCCAGCCACCTGCGGGGCTCCCGATAACGCCGCAGCGGCACCTGCCTGCGCTGATGCCGCCCAGAGGGGCACGGAGCCCATCCGCAGCCGCTGGGGACCCACCGGGCCAAGCCGGGAGCAGCAGCAACACCCGACGGGGGCAGGAGGTGCAAGGAGCAGGAGCGAGCTCCAGGGCTCGCTTGAGCCGGGCTTCACCTGGCGGACTCCATCAGCGCTGAGCAGCGCCGGCGGCCACAGGGGAAATGAATGGAGAGGCTGCGGAGGCAGCTTCCCCTTGAAGAGCTGCTGATGGCAAAGGCACCGACGTGCTGGAACAGGGGTGAGCCAGGGCACATAGGAAACACGGGGGGCCGAGAGGCCCCTTGCAGCGGTGCCTGTGGCCCAGGGGCTGTGCCCACCGCGAGCCAGGAACCGGCTGCCTTCAGACGTCCCCGTTATCACCGTGGGGAGCGCACGGGGCTGCCCCAGCGCTGGCGGCCCCCGGCACGTCCCCCATGGCAGGACCCTGCCTGACCCTGCTGCCCGCCCGTGGCTCCCCACGGGGGCACAACACCGGGAGCGCCCCGCACACGCAGCCCGTGCAGGGCCGCTCCCAACGGCACAAACAGGTTCGATGCGGAACGGCTCCGTTAGCTCCGCGACGGGAGCGCGGAAAGAGGGCGCGCCAATGCCGCGGCTGGCCCCGCCCATTCAGGGACTGACCACGCCCCCCTCCTTGGTCCAGCCTGAATCGGAGCTGAGCTCTGACCCCAGGGCAGCCAGACCTTCTCCCCCTCTTTCTCAATGAGAAGATCCCAAGGAAAGGAGTGCACCATGGGAACAGAGAATCACAGAATCCCAAGGGTTGGAAGGGACCTCAGAAGATCATCTGGTCCAAACCCCTGCAAGAGCAGGGTAACCTAGAGTACATCCCACAGGAACTTGTCCAGGAGGACCTTGAATATCCCCAATGTAGGGGACTCCACAACCCCCCTGGGCAACCTGTTCCAGTGCTCTCTCACTCTCACAGTAAAGAAGTTTCTCCTGATGTTCACATGGAGCCTCCTATGCTCCAGTTCACACCCATTGCCCCTTGTCCTGTCACTGGACATCACTGAAAAAAACCTAGCTCCATCATCCTGACACTCACCCTTTACATATTTGTAACCATTGATGTGCTCACCCCTCAGTCTCCCCCAAGCTAAAGAGACCCAGCTCCCTCAACCTCTCCTCATAAGGGAGATGTTCCACTCCCTTCATCATCTTTGTGGCTCTGCGCTGGACTCTTTCATAGAACCATAGAATCATAGAATATTTACGGTTGGAAAGGACCTCAAGATCATCAACTTCCAACCCCCCTGCCATGGGCAGGGACACCTCGCTCTAAACCATATTACCCAAGTCCTTGTCCAACCTGGCCTTGAACACTGCCAGGGATGGAGCATTCACAACCTCCCTGGGCAACCCATTCCAGTGCCTCAGCACCCTCACAGGAAAGAATTTCCTCCTTAGATCCAATCTAAACTTCCCCTGTTTCAGTTTGAACCCGTTGCCCCTTGTCCTGTCAGTGCAGTCCCTAATGAAGAGTCCCTCCCCAGCATCCCCATAGGCCCCCATTCAGATCCTGGATGTTGCTCTGAGGTCTCCACGCAGCCTTCTCTTCTCCAGGCTGAACAGCCCCAACTTTCTCAGCCTATCTCCATACAGGAGCTGCTCCAGCCCCTGAGCATCCTCGTGGCCTCCTCTGGACTTGTTCCAACAGTTCCATGTCCTTTTTATGTTGAGGACACCAGAACTGCACACAATGCTCCAGGGGAGGTCTCACAAGAGCAGAGTAGAGGGGCAGGATCAGCTCCTTGGACCTGCTGGTCACGCTCCTTTGGATGCAGCCCAGGATACGGTTGGTTTCTGGGCTCAAGCGCACACTGAAGCTGGCTCATGTTCATTTTCTCATGGACCAGCACCCCCAAGTCCTTCCCCTTGGGCTGCTCTGAATCTCTTCTCTGCCCAGCCTGTAGCTGGGCCTGGGATTGCTCCGACCCAGGTGTAGGACCTTGCACTTGGCATGGTTGAACTTCATGAGGTTGGCATCAGCCCACCTCACAAGCGTGTCAAGGTCCCTCTGGATGGCATTCCTTCCCTCCAGCGGATCAACCAAACCACACAGCTTGGTGTCATCGGCAAACTTGCTGAGGGCGCACTCAATCCCACTGTCCATGTCAGCGACGAAGATGTTAAACAAGACCGGTCCCAACACCGATCCCTGAGGGACACCACTCGTTACTGGTCTCCAGCTGGACATTGAGCCATTGACCACAACTCTTTGTGCGCGTCCCTCCAGCCAGTTCTTTATCCACCGAGTGGTCCACTCATCAAACTGATGTCTCTCCAATTTAGAGACATGGTTGTCATGTGGGACAGTGTCGAACGCTTTACACAAGTCCAGGTAGATGACATCAGCTGCTCTACTCCTGTCCATCAGTTCTGTAGCCCCATCATAGGAGGCCACCAAATTGGTCAGGCAGGATTTCCCCTTGGTGAAGCCATGCTGGCTGTCACCGAGCACCCTGTTGATTTTCATGTGCCTTAGCATGCCTTCCAGGAGAATCTGCTGGAAGATGTTGCCAGGCACAGAGGTGAGACTGACTGGTCTGGAATTCCCCGGGTTCATCCATTTTCCCCTTCTTGAAAATGGGGGTTATATTTCCCGTATTCCAGTCGTCGGGAGCTTCACCTGACTGCCATGATTTTCCAAATATGATGGCCAGCGGCTTAGCAACTTCATTCACCAGCTCCTTCAGGACCCGCGGATGGATTCCATCAGGACCCATGGACTTGTGCACGTTCAGATACTTAAGATGGTCTCGAACCAGTTCCTCTCCTACAGTGGGCCCAAGATCTTCATTCTCACAGTCCCTGTGTCTGCCTTCCAAGACTTGGGTGGTGCAGTCAGAGCCTTTGCCAGTGAAGACCGAGGCAAAGAAGTCATTCAGAACCTCAGCCTTCTCCAAGTCCTGTGTAGCTAGTTCACCAGAGAGCTTCCTGAGGGGGCCTACATTCTCCCTAGTCTGTTTTTTATTTGCTATGTACCTGTAGAATCCCTTCCTGTTATCCTTAATATCCCTAGCCAAGTTTAATTCTAACTGGGCCTTAGCTTCCCTAACCTGGTCCCTAGCTTCCCGGACAATATCCCTGTACTCTTCCCAGGCCGCCTGTCCTTGCTTCCACTTTCTATAAAGCTCTTTCTTCATTTGGATTTTCCTCAGCAGCTCCTTATCCATCCAAGGAGGTCTCCTGGCCCTCCTGCTGCACTTCCTTCTGGTTGGGATGCAACACTCCTGAGCTTGGAGCAGGTGATCCTTGAAGACCAACCAAGAGTCTTGAGCCCCCCTGCCCTCTAGGGCTATATCCCATGGAACCTTACTGAGCAGGTTCCTGAAGAGGCCAAAGTCTGCTCTCTTGAAGTCCAGGGCAGTGAGCTTGCTGCACGCTCTCCTCACTGTCCTAAGGATCTCAAATTCAACCATCTCGTGGTCGCTGCATCCAAGGCTGCCCTGCAGCGCCACATTTCCAATGAGCCCTTCCCTGTTGGTGAGCAGGAGGTCAAGCATGGCACCTCTCCTTGTCGGCTCCTCTATTACTTGCAGAAGGAAGTTGTCTTCCACACAATCGAGGAACCTCCTGGATTGCTTGTACCAAAAGATGTCAGGGTGGTTGAAGTCCCCCATGAGAACAAGGGCCTGTGAGCGTGAGGCTTTTCCTATCTGCCTATGGAGTGCTTCATCTGCAGATTACTCTTGATCAGGTGGTCTATAACAGATCCCCACAGTAATGTCTCCCATCGCTGTTTTCCCTTTAACCCTGACCCACAAGCTCTCTGTTATCTGCTCACCAGTCCCCAGACAGTTCCATACACTCCAGCCTATCCCTAACATAAAGGGCAACTCCCCCTCCGCGCCTCCCAGGCCTGTCTTTTCTAAAGAGTCTGTAACCTTCCATTCCAACACTCCAGTCATAGGAGCCATCCCACCATGTCTCTGTGGTGCCTATAATGTCATACCCCCATAGATGAGCACACATCTCTAATTCCTCTTGTTTGCTCCCCATGCTACGGGCATTTGTATAGGGGCATCTGAGCCGAGCTCCAAATGAAGCCGGCTCATTGGCTGGAGCAGCTGGAATATCTCTGCATTGCTCCAAGCATTTATTATAGGTGCTGGCAGCTGACTGGGAGTGCTGGGATGGAATGATGCCCCCCTCCCCCAACACATCTAGTTTAAAGCCTCCTTAACCAGTCTGGCCTTAAAGACTCCTACCAAAACTGCCCTTTATCAGACCAGCTCCACCAGCCCCGCTAGACCTGGCCTACAAACTAGGGTCCATGTCCAACACACCCAAACCCCTGACTGTGACACCACCCTTTGAACCATTTATTAACCTGGCTAATCCTCACCAGGCGCTCCTGGTGAAAGCCACCCGTGGCTCTGTGCCCTGCAGCTCTGGTCCCTCGGATGCCGGAGCACAGCCCGGTCCCATGGCTCAGCAGCAGCCCCAGGAGCTGCATTCCCCCATGGATGTGCTCTGCTGGGCGCTGCAGCACCCTGGTAGTGACCTGCGGGTGCTCCGGTAAGAGGCTGAGCTGGGGTGGGTGGGTGCTGGAGGGGAGCACATGGGTGCTGCTCTAGGGTGGATAAGAGGGAGCTATAGGGTGAGGCCAGGCTTTCATTGGCCATGGGAGGGGTGGTCCCTCCATGCTGATTGGCTGTGGGGTGAAAGGGTGGGGTCCCTCCATGGTGATTGGCTGGGGAGTGAGAGGGTGGGATCGACCCATGGTGATTGGCCCTGCAATGGGTGGGTGAGGTCCCTCATGATGATTGGCTGTGCTAAGGGTGAATGTGTGCTCTCCATGCTGATTGGTCGTGAGGTGCCTTGAGGCTGATTGCCTGGGAAGGGGGGTGTGGGAAGGTGGGGACACTCCATGCTGATTGGCTGTGCTTAGAGTGAGAGTGTTCCCTCCATGCTGATTGGCCAGGTGGTGGGTTGGTGTGTTCCTTTGAGGCTGATTGGCTATCTGGTGGGTGGGCATGGCCCTCGATGCTGATTGGCTGGTGGAGCGGGTTGGCGTGGTTCCCCCCATGCCCATTGGCTGGTGGCGGTGGGGGGCTCTGTCTGGGCTGTCCCGCAGGCTGCAGTGGTGCCGGCTGCCCGAGAGCTGCTGTGCGGCACTGACGGCGCTGCTGGCCCAGCACCGCAGCCTGGAGCGCCTGGAGCTGGGGGACACCGCGCTGGGGGACCGCGGCGTGCGCCTGCTGTGCCAGGGGCTGTGGCAGCCCGGCTGCTGCCTGCGTGCACTGCGGTGAGAGCCCCAACACGCAGCATGTCTCTGAACATCCCCAGCATCCCTGGGCATCCCCATGGCACCCACAGCATCCCTGAGCATCCCCATGGCAACCCCAGGAGCCACTAAGCATCCCCATGTCACCCACAGGCATCCCTGAGCATCCCCCTCATACGCCTGGGCACCACTGGGAATCCCCATAGCAACCCCGGTCATCCCTGAGCATCCCTAGAGCACCCACGGGCACCCCAGAGCATCCCCATGGCAACCACGTGGACACCTGACTATCCCCATAGCACCCAGAGGCATCCCTGTGCATCCCCATGGCAACTACAGGCATCCCTGAATATCACCCTGGTACCCACGGGCATCCTATAGCATCCCCCCAGCATCCCTGAGCATTCCCCCAGCATCCAATCCCATAGCATTCCCCAGCAACCCTGCACATCCCTGAGCATCCCCCCGGCATCCCTGAGCACCCTCCTGGCACCCCACAGCATCCCTGGGCATTTCCCAGGCAGCCAAAGCCCTGGGGCGGATGGGAGCACTGCACTGGTACCCAAAGGAGCCCCCTGGGCTGGCCTCATCCCTGTGTCCCGCTCTCTCAGGGCACTGGCTCCGGGTTAGGACCACGGTGGGGTGGCACTGAGGCTCTTTCCCTGCAGTCTGCGCTATTCCCGCCTCAGCAGCGCCTGCTGCAAGGACCTGGCCGCTGTGCTGAGCACCAGCCCCTGCCTGGAGGAGCTGGATTTGTCCTTCAGCGAGGGGCTGCGGGACGCGGGTGCGGAGCTGCTGTGCGAGGGGCTGCGGCCCCGTTCCTGCCGCCTGCGGACGCTGCGGTAAGAGGCGGCCCGGTCCCAGGCGCAGCGGCTCCGCGGGTCCCGCCGCACATCCCTGTTCCCGCATCCCGCAGGCTGGGGAGCTGCCGCCTGACGGGCGCCTGCTGCCGAGCGCTGCCTGCGGGGACGCCTCCCCTCACCTGCCTGGACCTGAGCGACAACGAGCTGGGAGCAGACGGGGTCCTGCAGCTCTGCCGCCAGCTCCGGAGCCCCTCCTGCCCGCTGCGGGCCCTGGGGTAAGGGGCTGGCTGTGCCCTTGCACCCCTGTGCGAGTGCCGAGGGCTCAGGGAGGGACAGGAGGGGCATGGAACCACGCAAGGAAGGGTTTGGGTTGAAGGGACCTGAAAGCTCCTCCAGCTCCAAGCCCAACCCCTTCCACTGGAGCAGCTTGCTCCAAGCCCCTGTGTCCTTGAGCACTGCCAGGGATGGGGCAGCCACAGCTTCTCTGGGCACCCTGTGCCAGCGCCTCAGCACCCTCACAGGGAAGAGCTTCTGCCTAAGAGCTCAGCTCAGTCTCCCCTCGGGCAGGTTCAAGCCATTCCCCTTGCCCTGTCCCTCCAGGCCCTTGTCCCAAGCCCCTCTCCACGTTCCCTGCAGCCCCTTTGGGCACTGGAGCTGCTCTCAGGTCTCCCTGAGCCCCCCCAGCTCAAGCCGGGGGTGATCCCACAGCTCTCTCCTCCCTCTGTTCCAGGCTGAGCACGGCCGGGCTGCCCCAAGACGCGCTGCAGGCCCTGGCTGCCCTGCGGGCGCTGAAGCCCGGCCTCAAGGTCGGGGACCTCCTGGAGCAGGAGGATGCCAAATAAAGGCGCTGGGGCCCTTATTCCCTTTTCTTCCTCCGCCCTTCTCCCTGCCCCACTCACACCCAGGGACCCAGCAAGGTGCCAGCCTGGAAGTGAGTCTCCAGCCAGCTTGGGAGTTTTAATAGGGAAAACCATGGGAATTCACGGTGAAACTAAACCCAGATCCCTGCAGCGCTGCTGCAAGAGGGACACCGGAGCTGCTGTGCTGTGGTCCTGGGCACGGAGAGGTGACCTCCATGGCCAGGGCCACCCGTCCTTGGGGACAGAGCCCCAGCACCCGCACTTGTGTCCCCGTGGCCTCGTGTGCTGCGGCCGCAGCATCCTCACAGCAATGTCCCCAAGGTGCCAACGTCAGCATCATCGTAGCCTGTGTCCCCTGGGGGCTGCTCCGGGGGGTCCCCTGTGCCCCCTGGTGCGGGACGGCTCCCACCTTGGGGGCAGCAGAGGCTGGTGCCTTAGTGGGGGCCGCTAAACCACATCTGGGTCTTGCTGCAGCCCCATGGATTTGCTGCCGCCCCCCCCCACCCCCAGCCACCGCAACCCAGCCCCCCCCGAGGTGGCTCTGCAGGGCACAGGGGCACTCACCTGCATGTGCCACCCCCTCGGGGGTGTCCCCAGTGCCAAGGGACTCCTCTGGCACAGCCTCGGCATCATCGTAGCCATCGGGGGGTCCGTCCTCAGGCAGGGCAGGGGGGCCTGGGGCAGCGATGGGGAGGGGATGGTGGTGACCCGGAGGCTGTGGCAGGGCTCTGGCTGTGTCACCCCCCTCCATCCACAGCACCAGAAGTGTCTGGGAGGTGATGGGGCTGCTCATGCAGAGCCACAGTAGATCTGGGCTCATCCAGGCCAGGGGACCCCGTGTCCCATTCGCTCCCCAGTCCTAAGGGGGTTCCCGCTGGGATCCTGTCCCCATGTCCCTACCTGGGGCTGCGCCGGGGTCACTCTCCTCCACATCCTCTGCAGTGTAATAGGGCAGCTTCGTCTCTGAGCCCTCCGTTGGGGAGCCTGGTGGGGAGAGGGCACAGTGGGACAGGGGACACCCACACGCCATGGGATGAGCTGCAGCCACACCGCCAGGAGCCAGGGCTGTGGTGGGGCCGTGGGGCAGGGATACCCCAGTACGGGCACACGTGCACCAACCTGGGCGACTGGGCACCTTCTGGTACTCCGGCATCCCGGTGTAGTCCAGCTCCTCATAGACAGCATCCAGGGCTCTGCCAGGCTCTGGAATAACAGCAGCAGCGCTCAGCAGGAGCAGCGGGGTCACCAATGACCCCCTCTGAGCCCCGGGACCCCCAAAGCAGCTCTGCGCCGCAGCACCCACCTCGTGGCCCAGCCCAGGCCCGGTACATCTGCAGAGCCAGGGCAGCGAGCGCCAGGCACAGCAGCACCCCCAGCACCGCGCACAGCACCGTGGGCACCGGCACCGGCCCCGTGGCTGGCCGCGGGGTGCTGGCCCTGGGGACACCTGCGGGGCCATGGGAGGAGCAAGGTGAAGCGAGGCCGTGGAGCGCGGCCGGCCCGGCGCAGGCCTCAGCATCAGAGCTACCTGTGAGCGTGGGGCTCCCTGGGGACGGGCTGAGCATCCCCTCGGCGCCGTCCTCAGCGCACACCACATGCGCGTCCCCGCCGGGCCCGCACGGCTGCAGGCGCCAGGGAGCCGAGGGGCAGCGCCACAGCGAGCGGGCCCCGTCCTCGCAGCGCACCCAGGCGAGCCAGGCGGGGGCCGGGAGCGGGGCAGCGCCGGCCCCGAGGCTGCCCCCGTCCCCGCAGCCCAGCTGCCTGCAGACGGCGGCGGCCGTGGCCGGGCTGGTGCCGTCGGCGCACACGCGGCCCCACGTCCCGTTGTAGAGGAGCTCCAAGTGCCCGCTGCAGCGGCCGCTGCCGCCCGCCAGCCGCACGGAGAGCTGCCCTAGCCGCGGGGGGCAAGGCGGGGGTCACCGCACGGCTCCGGGTGCGCGCCCCCGCCCTGCCCCTGCCCGTGCCCGTGCCCGTGCCCGTGGCCGCCACTGACCTGAGCACACGGCGCCGGCCCCGCCGCCGAGCCGGCAGCCGCGCTGCGCTGGGGCCGGGCAATCCCAAAGGGACGCCTCGCTGCCGGCGCAGCCACCGGCACCCGCCCACGGCGGGGCCGCCCCGGGGCCGAAGCGAGCGGAGCCGGGCGCGTCCAGCGCTGCCCCGCAGCCCAGCTGCCGGCACACGACGGCGGCGTCCGGGATGTCCCACGCGTCCTGGCACACGGGGCTCCAAGCGCCCTCAACGTAGAGCTCCACACGCCCGGCACAGCGCCCAGGGCCCCCCGCCAGCCTCAGCCGCCGGCTGCCTGCGGGGCACGGACGGGATGCACCGGGGCTGCTGCCTGCGGGGCCCCCACCGCCCGGCCCATAGCGGGGCACTCACTCCCTCACTCCCTCACTCACCGGAGCACACAAGAGCCAGAGCCTCGCCAGCGCCGCTCCCAGCACTGGCCCTGCCCGAGACGTTGCACTGCGCCAGGGCGTCCTCGCTGCCCGCGCACTGCACCTCCTGCAGCCCCACGCCGCCGGGGCCCGCCACGGGGTACACCCGCTCCAGCTCGCCGCAGCCCAGCTCCCGGCACGCCACGGTGGCCGCCTGGGGGGCCCGGAGCCCCGCGGACACAGCGGCCCAGCTGCCCGGGCTCGTGGGGACCTCCAGCCGCCCCTCGCACCGGCTCTGCCCCTCCAGCAGCCGCAGGGGCTCGGCAGCGCCTGCAGGATCCACCCGAGAAGCTGGGGCTGCCCCATCCCTGGCAGTGCTCGAGGCCAGCTTGGACACGGGGGCTGGGAGCAAGCTGCTCCAGTGGAAGGGGTTGGGACCCGATGGGGTTTTAGCACAGGGTCCCGGGGCGATGCTGGGCCCCAGCTCAGGCCCCCTTCACCCCAAAGGACCCCGCATCCTCCGTTCCCAGTGCTTGAGGGGTCCCCACAGCCCCACGAGGCTCTTCCCCCCCGGGTCCCGCACGCACCTGAGCACTCGACCGCAGCAGCGTGCCCGGGGGGGCAGCTTGGCTCCCCCAGCACCGCCACGGGGCACTGGCCTGGGTGCTGCTCGCTGCCGCTGCAGCCAAAGGCATCCACGCGCAGGGTCCCGTTCCCGCTGCCGAAGGAGCCTCCCGGGAGCACGGCGCTGGCAGGGCCGCAGCCCAGGTGGTGGCAGAGGACATGGGCATCGGGCAGGTCCCAGGCGCTGGCGCAGAGGGACCCCCACGTCCCCCCTGCCATCACCTCCACCCGCCCGGCGCAGCGCGAGCTGTGGTTCGCCAGCCGGAAGCCGCTGTAGGCTGGGGCACAAAGGGGGTTGGGGGGTGACAATTGAGCAGGGGGACCCCCAGGCACAGCCCGCTGGCCCCGCTGCTTACACGAGCAGACGATGCTGGCGTGGCCGCTGCAGGCCTGGGCGCTCCGTGCCCGCTGCCTGCAGGCGCTCAGGAGGAGCTCGCTGCCGCTGCACTCGAATCCTGCGTCCCATTGCGGCTCCGATGCCGCCGGGAACAGGCCGGCCCCGGGCACAGCGAGCACCGAGCAGCCCAGCTCCCGGCACTCGACCTGGGCAGCCTTCAGCTCCACAGCATCCTCACAGAGCCCGGCCCACGCTCGGCCCTGCCGCACCTCCAGCCGCCCCGCGCAGGGGCCATCGCCACCACCCAGCCGGGAGAAGCCTGCGGGGAGAGGCCCCGCGGCGGTGCTCAGGGATCGGAGCAGCCCTGACGGGAAGGACTTGGGCTGCTGCCTGAGGAGCAGCTCCCCACGACCCGGCTTCAGGGAGCGCTTGAGACCAGAACCCCCCCCCCCCGTGTGCTGGGCTGCACCCCCAGAGCGTGAGCAGCAGCTCCGGGAGGGGATCCTGCCCCTCTGCTGCGGGAATGGGAGATCCCCCCCTGCAGCGCTGGGTGCAGAGCTGGGGTCCTCAGCATAAGAAGGCCATGGAGACGTTGGGGCAAGGGTGGAGGAGGCCACGAGGATGCTCAGGGGCTGGAGCAGCTCCTGCATGGAGCCAGGCTGAGAACATTGGGGCTGCATGGAGAGCTCAGAGCAGCTTCCAGTGTCTGAACGGGCTAGAAAGATGCTGGGAAGGGATCCTCATCAGGGAGCTCAGCGAGAGGACAAGGGGTGATGGGTTCAAACTGCAAGAAGGGCAGTTTAGGTTGGAGATAAGGCAGAAGCTCTTCCCTGTGAGGGTGCTGAGGCGCTGGCACAGGGTGCCCAGAGAAGCTGTGGCTGCCCCATCCCTGGCAGTGCTCAAGGCCAGGTTGGACACAGGGGCTTGAAGCAAGCTGCTCCAGTGGAAGGGGTCCCTGCCCGTGGCAGGGCTTGGAGCTGGGTGGGATTTAAGCTCCCTTCAACCCAGTCCTGGGGCTCTGTGCTGTGCCAAACCAGCTCCTGGCTCCTACCTTGGCAGACGACACCGGTGTCGAAGACGTAGAAGCCTTCATAGGGCCCCCAGCCCCTCACCTCGCACTCCCAAAGCGCTTTCTCGTACCCACGGCAGTTCACCAGCGACATGTTGACAGGGGGGTCACCGCTGCTGTAGCTTCTGCCTTTGGTGTAGGCCCTGGTGGCCGAGCCGCAGCCCAGCTGCTGGCAAACCACCTCCGCATCCATAATGTCCCAGATGGGGTCTGCCACCGGGCCCCAGCGTCCCCGCAGCTTCACCTCCACCATCCCATTGCAGGGACCGCTGCCGCCCGCCAGCCTCAGCTCCACTGCATCTGCACCACGGCACCGGCCCAGCCTCAGCCATAGCCAGTGCCACGTCACGCGGCCGGTGTCCCGGCACCACCGGCATCCCCCTCCTCACCTGTGCAGGTCACCCCCAGATCGCGCTCGTGGCTGCAGAAGTGCTGGCCCCATTCAAAATGGGGACAATCCTGCAGCATCGCCTCGTTGCCATTGCAGAAGAAGACATGGAGCCAGATGCGGCCGGTGCCCTGCCCGAACGGAGCGTACGGGGACGACGTGGCCGCCGTGCCACAGCCGAGCTGCCGGCACACCACGGTGGCCCAGCGGGCGTCCCAGTCATCGTCGTAGCTGCAGACGGAGCCCCATTCACCTTCATGCTTCACCTCCACCCTCCCGGCGCAGCGCCCACCACCACCCACCAGCCGCAGCTCATCGGGGCCCTGCACCGTGCTCAGCTCAGCCTGGGGCTCTGCGGTGCTCCGCGGCTGCCCCACGCTGAGCTGCACCCACAGGAGAGCCCCCAGCACCCTCACAGGCACCATCTCGCACACCAGGAACCTCCCCTCTGCCTCCTGGGTCGGGCTGGGTGATTTATAGGCAGCGCCGCAGCCAATGGAGGCAGCAGCACCTTCTGAGCCCGTTATCAGTTGGGTTATCTCCCATGTGGCGAGGCCTCGGGCTCCAATAACCTGCTCCGTGCCCAAATATGAGGCTCAGCTCCGCTTCTGGCGTCACACACCTTGCCAGGGGGGGTCAGAGCCCGGATGCCCCCAGTCTGAACCAATAACACCCCCCCAGGAGCACCCAGTGCTGCAACAGGGTGCACGGACCCATCCTGCATCCCCCTCTGGCACTGACCCTGCTGCGGCGCCTGCCAAGAGCCCAATGGCAACAGGATTCACCCCAAAACCTACCCAAGCCCCCACAGGGCCGCTCTTAGCTCCAGCACGGAGCAAAGCCCAAGGAGGCCGGGCACAGCAGCACCCATCCTTGGGGTGCTCCCCTCCATAGGGTGCCTGCAGACCCGGAGTCGGGGGGCCCTGAGGTGGCAGCAGCCCCCCCCCGCCTCACCGCGGTGCCTGCAGGTGGCCCATGGCGGTGCCGCAGCTGTGGCAGGCAGGAAGGAGGCGGTTTCCCCCCTGCAAGCAGGGACCCGCTGTCGGCATCGACCACACGCAGCTCCCCAGCCACCTGCGGGGCTCCCGATAACGCCGCAGCGGCACCTGCCTGCGCTGATGCCGCCCAGAGGGGCACGGAGCCCATCCGCAGCCGCTGGGGACCCACCGGGCCAAGCCGGGAGCAGCAGCAACACCCGACGGGGGCAGGAGGTGCAAGGAGCAGGAGCGAGCTCCAGGGCTCGCTTGAGCCGGGCTTCACCTGGCGGACTCCATCAGCGCTGAGCAGCGCCGGCGGCCACAGGGGAAATGAATGGAGAGGCTGCGGAGGCAGCTTCCCCTTGAAGAGCTGCTGATGGCAAAGGCACCGACGTGCTGGAACAGGGGTGAGCCAGGGCACATAGGAAACACGGGGGGCCGAGAGGCCCCTTGCAGCGGTGCCTGTGGCCCAGGGGCTGTGCCCACCGCGAGCCAGGAACCGGCTGCCTTCAGACGTCCCCGTTATCACCGTGGGGAGCGCACGGGGCTGCCCCAGCGCTGTCGGCCCCCGGCACGTCCCCCATGGCAGGACCCTGCCTGACCCTGCTGCCCGCCCGTGGCTCCCCACGGGGGCACAACACCGGGAGCGCCCCGCACACGCAGCCCGTGCAGGGCCGCTCCCAACGGCACAAACGGGTTCGATGCGGAACGGCTCCGTTAGCTCGGCGACGGGAGCGCGGGGAGAGGGCGCGCCAACGCCGCGCCTGGCCCCGCCCATTCAGGGACTGGACACGCCCCCCTCCTTGGTCCAGCCTGGATCGGAGCTGAGCTCTGACCCCAGGGGCAGTGAAGCCGCTGGAAGCCACCCTGATGGGCTTGCTGAAGAAGACTCTTCTCCCCGAGTCCTCCTTGCTCATCACCACCAGGCCGAGGGCTCTTCAGAGCCTGGGGCAGTGCCTAAAGGGGGAGGATTACATGGAAATAGGGGGATTTTCCAGAGCCATGAGGGAGTAATACTTCCACAGGTACTTTGGGAACGACCACAAAGCAGACCTGGCCTTTGGGTTTGCCAGAGCCAACGAGATCCTTTACAGCTTATGCAGCATCCCCATCATGAGCTGGACCGTCTGCAGCATCCTGAAGCAAGAGCTTCGCAAGGAGAAAGACCTCACAGAGTGCTCCAAAGCCACCACATGGATGAGTGTGCTTTACCTCTCCTGGTTAGTGAAGCGCAGGGGCAGGGACAGCCCACAGGACCTCCACCGGTTCCTCCTCAAGCTTTGCTCCTTGGCTGCTGGTGGCATCTGGAAGCACAAAGTCCTCTTTGAGGAGAAGGAAATCAAGGACCATGGCTTGGACCAGCCAGACCTTCTCCCCCTCTTCCTCAATGAGAACATCCCAAGGAAAGGAGTGCACCATGGGAACACCTACGGATCTGAAGGTCACAGTGAGGTTCCTGTGTGGTTTGGTGAGCCAAGGATGCAGAGAGTACATGGACAACACCATCGGGTGCAGAACCTCAGCACGAGCCAAGGAGGAGCTGCTGAGGTGGCTGCAGGGGAGGCACGGAGGCACCTCCCAGCCTGGCCAAGGGGTGAAGCTGGCCCGGTTGGACACCTTCCACTTCTTGTTTGAGATGAATGATGAGAGCTTCGCACAAACGGCTTTGGGGGCTTCACTGACGTGGAGCTGCAGGACACGAAGCTGACCCTGTACGACCAAATGGCTCTTGCCTTCTGCATCAGGCACTGGCCTGGGCTGGGCTCTGTCACCCTCCGGGGATGCTCCTTCCACCAACAGGACCCCAAGTCCAAGGCGGCAGCATCAGTGCCCCGGTAAGTACTGCTCCAGAGACCCAAAATCCCAGAGATCCCACCCCAAAGGATGCTTCTAAAGGCACTTGAGCTCCTTGACCTCAAACACCTTGTCCTTTGCTGGGGTTTAGCTCCTCCCACCAAAACTTGTCCTTTCGTGGATTCATAGATGAGTTTGGGTTGGAAGGGACCTTCAAAGCTCATCCAATCCAACCCCCTGCCACGAGCAGGGACATCTTCATCTAGATCAGGTTGTCCAGAACCACATCCAGCCTGGCCTGGAATGCCTCCAGGAATGGAGATGGAGCATCTTGGCCTTAACAAACCCATCTGTGCCCAGGGGCTCATCTGGCTTCACATCCCCCTGCTTGCATGCAAAGAGCAGAGCCCCGATGAGGAAACTTTAAGCGCACCCCAAGCTCTGCTCGTGCTCCTTTGTGCCTCCAAAGCCACGGGGGTCCCTCCCAAGAGCTGGTGCCAAGCTCTGCTGTGCCGGTGCCAAATCCAGGCGCTCCTGGTGAAAGCCACCCGTGGCTCTGTGCCCTGCAGCTCTGGTCCCTCGGATGCCGGAGCACAGCCCGGTCCCATGGCTCAGCAGCAGCCCCAGGAGCTGCATTCCCCCATGGATGTGCTCTGCCGGGCGCTGCAGCACCCTGGTAGTGACCTGTGGGTGCTCCGGTAAGAGGCTGAGCTGGGGTGGGTGGGTGCTGGAGGGGAGCACATGGGTGCTGCTCTAGGGTGGATAAAAGGGAGCTATAGGGTGAGGCCAGGCTTTCATTGGCCATGGGAGGGGTGGTCCCTCCATGCTGATTGGCTGTGGGGTGAGAGGGTGGGGTCCCTCCATGGTGATTGGCTGGGGAGTGAGAGGGTGGGATCGCCCCATGGTGATTGGCCCTGCAATGGGTGGGTGAGGTCCCTCATGATGATTGGCTGTGCTAAGGGTGAATGTGTGCTCTCCATGCTGATTGGTCGTGAGGTGCCTTGAGGCTGAGTGAGAGTGTTCCCTCCATGCTGATTGGCCAGGTGGTGGGTTGGTGTGTTCCTTTGAGGCTGATTGGCCATGTGGTGGGTGGGCATGGCCCCTCGATGCTGATTGGCTGGTGGGGCGGGTTGGCGTGGTTCCCCCCATGCCCATTGGCCGGTGGCGGTGGGGGGTTTCTGTCTGGGCTGTCCCGCAGGCTGCAGTGGTGCCGGCTGCCCGAGAGCTGCTGCTGGCCCAGCACCGCAGCCTGGAGCGCCTGGAGCTGGGGGACACCGCGCTGGGGGACCGCGGCGTGCGCCTGCTCTGCCAGGGGCTGCGGCAGCCCGGCTGCTGCCTGCGTGCACTGCGGTGAGAGCCCCGGCACGCGGCGTGTCCCTGAGCATCCCCCAGCATCCCTGGGCATCCCCATGGCACCCACAGGCATCCCTGAGCATCCCCATGGCAACCCCAGGAGCCACTAAGCATCCTCATGGCAACCCCGGGAGCCACTAAGCATCCCCATGGCACCCACAGCCATCCCTGAGCATCCCCCTCGTACCCCTGGGCACCACTGGGAATCCCCATAGCAACCACGGTCATCCCTCAGCATCCCTATAGCACCCACGGGCACCCCAGAGCATCCCCATGGCAACCACGGGGACACCTGAGTATCCCCATGGCACCCAGAGGCATCCCTGAGCATCCCCATGGCAACTACAGGCATCCCTGAATATCCCCCTGGTACCCACGGGCATCCCATAGCCTCCCCCAGCACCACCGGGCATCCCTGGGCATTCCCCCAGCATCCCTGAGCATCCCCCCGGTACCCTCTGGCATTCTCGAGCATCCAGAGCATCCCCCTGGCATCCCCCCCTGCATCCCCAGCATCCCCCTGGCATCCCTGAGCGTCCCTTTGGGCACCCACAGACATCCCATAGCATTCCCCAGCAACCCTGCACATCCCTGAGCACCCTCCTGGCACCCCACAGCATCCCTGGGCATTTCCCACGCAGCCAAAGCCCTGGGGCGGATGGGAGCACTGCAATGGTACCCAAAGGAGCCCCCTGGGCTGGCCTCATCCCTGTGTCCCGCTCTCTCAGGGCACTGGCTCCGGGTTAGGACCACGGTGGGGTGGCACTGAGGCTCTTTCCCTGCAGTCTGCGCTATTCCCGCCTCAGCAGCGCCTGCTGCAAGGACCTGGCCGCTGTGCTGAGCACCAGCCCCTGCCTGGAGGAGCTGGATTTGTCCTTCAGCGAGGGGCTGCGGGACGCGGGTGCGGAGCTGCTGTGCGAGGGGCTGCGGCCCCGTTCCTGCCGCCTGCGGACGCTGCGGTAAGAGGCGGCCCGGTCCCAGGCGCAGCGGCTCCGCGGGTCCCGCCGCACATCCCTGTTCCCGCATCCCGCAGGCTGGGGAGCTGCCGCCTGACGGGCGCCTGCTGCCGAGCGCTGCCTGCGGGGACGCCTCCCCTCACCTGCCTGGACCTGAGCGACAACGAGCTGGGAGCAGACGGGGTCCTGCAGCTCTGCCGCCAGCTCCGGAGCCCCTCCTGCCCGCTGCGGGCCCTGGGGTAAGGGGCTGGCTGTGCCCTTGCACCCCTGTGCGAGTGCCGAGGGCTCAGGGAGGGACAGGAGGGGCATGGAACCACGCAAGGAAGGGTTTGGGTTGAAGGGACCTGAAAGCTCCTCCAGCTCCAAGCCCAACCCCTTCCACTGGAGCAGCTTGCTCCAAGCCCCTGTGTCCTGGCCTTGAGCACTGCCAGGGATGGGGCAGCCACAGCTTCTCTGGGCACCCTGTGCCAGCGCCTCAGCACCCTCACAGGGAAGAGCTTCTGCCTAAGAGCTCAGCTCAGTCTCCCCTCGGGCAGGTTCAAGCCATTCCCCTTGGCCTGTCCCTCCAGGCCCTTGTCCCAAGCCCCTCTCCACGTTCCCTGCAGCCCCTTTGGGCACTGGAGCTGCTCTCAGGTCTCCCTGAGCCCCCCCAGCTCAAGCCGGGGGTGATCCCACAGCTCTCTCCTCCCTCTGTTCCAGGCTGAGCACGGCCGGGCTGCCCCAGGACGCGCTGCAGGCCCTGGCTGCCCTGCGGGCGCTGAAGCCCGGCCTCAAGGTCGGGGACCTCCTGGAGCAGGAGGCGCCGCAGACGGGGGCCATGGCCCGGCTCCGCTTCCAGCGCGGGGCCCTGCCGGGCAGGAGGGGGCCCCCCTCGCTCCGCACAGGAGCGCTCCTCTAGGAGAGCCCTTGCAGCAACCGCAGCCGTTCCCAGCGCAGGGCTCGGGGACCTGGGGGGAACCCGCTCTGGCTCTGAGCCTGCCCCAAGCATGGGGGCGCAGGGGAGGAGCTGCTGCCTGCAGCCTGCATCCTGCATCCGCTGGGATCGGGGCAGAACCGCTCCACGTCCTTCCCTCTCCCGTTTCCCAGCTGTGGGGAGCAGATCCATAGAGATCTCTATAGACCCCATCTATTGCTGGGAACACGCGTGTTGGTGTTGCTGGATGCCAAATAAAGGCGCTGGGGCCCTTATTCCCTTTTCTTCCTCCGCCCTTCTCCCTGTCCCAGTCACACCCAGGGACCCATCTGTAGGTCCAGCTCCTGCCGCACATCCCCAAGGGATGGTTGATGTCCCCGGGAGCAAGGTGCCAGCCTGGAAGTGAGTCTCCAGCCAGCTTGGGAGTTTTAATAGGGAAAACCATGGGAATTCACGGTGAAACTAAACCCAGATCCCTGCAGCGCTGCTGCAAGAGGGACACCGGAGCTGCTGTGCTGTGGTCCTGGGCACGGAGAGGTGACCTCCATGGCCGGGGCCACCCGTCCTTGGGGACAGAGCCCCAGCACCCGCACTTGTGTCCCCGTGGCCTCGTGTGCTGCGGCCGCAGCATCCTCACAGCAATGTCCCCAAGGTGCCAACGTCAGCATCATCGTAGCCTGTGTCCCCTGGGGGCTGCTCCGGGGGGTCCCCTGTGCCCCCTGGGGGGGGACGGCTCCCACCTTGGGGGCAGCAGAGGCTGGTGCCTTAGTGGGGGCCGCTAAACCCCATCTGGGTCTTGCTGCAGCCCCATGGATTTGCTGCTGCTCCCCCCCAGCCACCGCAGCCAAGCCCCCCCCGAGGTGGCTCTGCAGGGCACAGGGACACTCACCTGCATGTGCCACCCCCTCGGGGGTGTCCCCAGTGCCAAGGGACTCCTCTGGCACAGCCTCGGCATCATCGTAGCCATCGGGG